AATAGAACAGTAGGTAAGCCCTAAGCAAGTCTGAATGAAATATGAGCTTTAATTAACAATGATGTATCAGTATCTGTTCATTAATTGTGACAAATGTACCGCAGTAATGTAACAGGTTAATAGGGGAACCCAGGTGAGATATGGAACGATAACTCCTTTGCAATCCTCTGTAAACCTAAAGCTATTGTGAAATTGAAAAAGGAAGATTAAAAATGGAGGGTAAAAAGGGAAAGGCAGAAAAAAACGTTTTACAATTTATCAGTGAATGGATACATGGCCTCATTTTGGATTAAAATAATAGAAGTGGCCTTCATAGAATTCTTCTCTAATTGTGTGTTAGACACTGTGCTTGGTCCCCTAAGCCCTGGCTCCAATCTGTCTCATGAGGGCCTGGGCAGCCCTTCCTCCCGGGGCTCTTGTGAAACAAAAGCCAGTGGCCTTTGCATGTCCCGTCTCCAGGAGTTACAGATCCCCTGGTCCTGGGAGCGTGGGGAGGCGGTCAGGCCTGTGGCTGCTGGAACCTGCTACGAACTGCCTTAGCAGGGGCTCCAAATCCTCTGCAGTGTCCCCAGGGCACTGGAAAAGCACGTCATTTTCTAAGTATATCGAGATGTGAAAAAGTGTCAGGAAAAACAGCCCGAGCATGGTGCATGGCATGTAGCAAGCTCACTGGATCACCCGGGCGTCTCCCACAGGCACCAGTGAAGATGTGGGGTGACTTGGGTAGAGTCAGGGGCCAATGACACCAGTGGCGAGGGGCTGCCATTCGAGCTGGGTCTTGAGGATGAGGTGGGGTCTGCCAGGCACAGGGGCTGGAAGGGCAACAAGGGAAGGGAACAGCAGAGGCAAAGGCAGGAAGTGGTCGCAAACACAGAGTGTTTGGAAATGGTGGGGAGAGTTTCCATGTGGCCAGATTGCAGTGTGCGTGTGTCTCTGTATGTATGTCTGTGTGTGTCTGTGTGTATCTCTGTATGTCTGTGTGTGTCTATATGTGTGTCTGTGTGTATTTGTGTGTGTGTCTGTGTGTGTGTCTGTCTCTGCGTGTCTGTGTGTGTCTGTGTGTCCATGTGTCTCTGTGTCTGTGTGTCTCTGTGTGTGTGTCTGTGTGTGTGTGGCTGTGTGCATGTCCATGTGTGAGCATACCTGTGCGTGCACCTGGAACACAGTGTGGAATGGCAGGATGAGCCACGCAGGAAACTGCCCCACAGCCTGGTCTAATGTTGCCCCCCTGCCTAGAAGGGACAGTTCAAGGCAGATGTTGGGACGGAGTCACTGGAGGCGAGGGGCCGTGGGAAGTGGTGTAGGGTGTGGGGAGTGTCGTGTTACTGCCAAGCACTTCTCAGAAAGATCCCGCAGTCCGTGCGCTTCCTTGTACACATGCTTGTGTTCTGACTACACTCTTCCTCCGGGAAGAATCCGCCTCCTGAGGAGCAGGCAGGTTTCTCACTGTGCAGGAGAACACCCTGATTTACTTCTCCCTCGGTGAACAAAGCAACGTTATGTCGCCTGTGTTCAAATAATCTCCCAAAACACCACCTTCCAAGCGCCTGTCTGTGGCAGTCAGGGCTTCGGTGGGGTGGCTGGAAGGACAGTGAGGATGGGCCCCCAGGGGAGGCACTTTCAGAAACGGCCACTTCCCCTGGAATTCATGCAGTGACTCTTCGAACCACCGAGTGAACCAGTCAACACCCATAGTTGTGACCACGGAATTCTCAAACAGGTGGATTGTGCAAGAAATCCAAACACAGTCTCAATTTTTTGCCTGTATAGTGTTGGATCATGACACTGTTTTTAGAAAATTTGGATTAGGTATCAAGCAATTTCACCTAAACACACCTGGATTTTGAAGCATCTCTTCAAAAAAAAAAATCATTAAGCCTGGCAATACTGAGCCCCATGACCACATGTCCCCAGTCAATTGGAGCTGAGTGTTGATCTTCAGACACAAAAACTCCAGTTGACCCCAGTCCTCACCACTCCCTATTGCCCTCTCTCAAAACCAAAGGTCAGTTGCCATTATTATCACACTTGTGCTATTGTTTTCTTATAGCTGAGTTAAGAAAAGAGTAAAGAATTTCTTATTCTGAAAATCCATGAAAGGTGAGGCGACAAAATAGAAAGAGGTGCACATCCTCCTTGTAGAAGTGAGTTTCTTTCTAAATGCTCAGTGTGTAAGCAATAAGGGTCTGTTTTCAAAGAATACAACTTAAGACCCCAATATGAATTAAAACTGTCCTATTCCACTTTATGCTAAAAGCTCAGCCCAGTAAAACTTTGGTAGGCAGCCCCGTTATTGGCAGCACACTGAGGAAGAGCAAATGGAAGGGGAAAGAGTTAATGGTTTGGGGAATGTCGCACAGCTAAACGTAGACCATAGCCAGGATCCACCCAGTTCTTCTGGTGTGAGACTCTGCCTACAGCGGGCTGACCCAGGTGAGCTCCCTGCATTTGACCTAAAAGGGAATATTTTCAACAGAAATTTCTATATCAGGAATTCCTTCTCTACCAGCCTCTCAGGGCCCATGGAATCCTCTACCCTCTACAGTAACTTCAGAGGGCTCCAAGGAAACAGGATCTCAGACGCTAAGATGGCTTCAGTAAATTCAGTTCAACAAACACTTATTAAACCTGGGAGTTAGGAAGAGTTCACACCCTGGATGCAGAGTCCAACATTTAATCATGAGAGCCCCCTTTTCCTGGCTCTATGAACTTGGACAGGCCATTGAATGGCTCCAGAACCAATTTCTCCTTCTGTAAAATGGAACGAGTCATCACACGCCCTATCGCAGAGTGGAAATGGTGAGGAATCAGAGAGAGCTCTTAGGAAAACCGGGCTCACTGTCTGGCAGCTCCGATCACTGTGGTTGTTGTCATTTTACTCCCTGCTACGGATATCACTGCTGAAGTCCTCACCCCATCAGGGAGGTCATTGCAAGGCTGAGCTGTCCTCCTGTCCTGGTGGTTGGGGGGAAACGGAAGGACATAAAGGAAGCAGGTCTGGTGGCCCTCATGCAAACCCCCCTCTTGCGGATTCCACCTGGCACGTGCCCTGCAGGAACTGGCTCCCACGGCGGGGCGGGGCTGGGAGGAGTGTGCAGGTATGCGCTGTAAAAAGCCAGTCGGCTTGGCTCCTGGAAATCAGCTTACCCCTCCTGGCACTGCAGCGCGGAGACAGCGCAGCCTGCACCTCACTCTCGCATCTGGGGCTGCACTGGATCCGTGTGCTCAGAACAAGGTAAGAGCCTTGCTCTCTTAAGAGCTTCATTTCCTGCCCACCCCGCCTCCCCCATTTCTCACTCCACCCAAGGACTTGGGGTGCCTTGGGCCTGTGTCCCATTGTGGACAGGTGGAGGCTGAGCCTAGGTGCCATGGGAAGTGGCTGGGTCTTTCTCACTTGGGTATCCAGCCTGCTGTCCCACCCTTCCTTGCTTTAGCCTCCACTCCTGTGGTTGCCTTTCCCTTTCCCCATCCTAGCCGTGGCCAATGCCCAGGGTGGAAATGGCATCAGGACCATTTCCTGGACCTGCCTTTTTTCATGCAGAATTTGGTTTTGGTTTAAATGGAGCATGAATGATATGAATCATCTTATCATCATGTACTATGTTAAACTAAACTAGCAGAGTTCATAGTTGCTTTTCTTATTCCCTGCCAATATTTTCTGAAGAGCAGACTAAGGATGAGAAGTAAGAAGTGATCAAAAAGGGGTGACAGAAAGGAACAGAGGGATGTGGTCGGGCTGCCCACACCACCTTGTGACTTGCCCACTATGGGATCTTGAGCAATTTACTCAGCAGTCCGAGCCTTAGCAGTCACAGATGTTACCTGGGGTGACAAATTAATGGCCACCTGGCAGGGCTCTGTGTGGATTTAACAAGGTAAGAATCAAAATGTTGGATCAGTACTTAGTAGACGTGAAATAGAAATGGATTTCTCTTCTCCCTTCTGGCATAGTTTTTATTATCTACCTGATAAAATCCATGTCGTTTAGTGCGACATTGAAGTTTATCCTATTGACTCGGGAATTTCTTTTATAAGGGCATTAATTAAGGGCTTTTTTGTATGCCCAGTACTGTGCCATCATGGGTCTCCAGCAATCAATGAGACACGGTCTTTGCCTTCAATCTTGTAGTGTAAACTATCTGTTGAAATTCACCTGTCTTCACCTGGTTTCCTTTGCCCAGTCAGGTCAGAGCAGTGAGGAGTGCCCACCTTCATGCCTTTCTTTCTCCCACATTGCTGTCTCCACCCCCACAACCCCACTCACCTCCATGGGTCAAACCCCAGGCGTGTCCAACCTCTGGGTCAACATCACCTTTCATGACACTTTCATGACACCTACTACGTCCTTCCTCGTGTTGTGGTCATCTGTGTCTGTGTGGAATTGTGAGGTAGAAATCCAGCACAGTGGAGAAGGAAGAGAGCTGGTGATTCTTTCACCTATCACTTTGATTTCCGGGTAAAGGAACTGAGACCCAATGTCGGGGATAGGGACTTGTCCAAGATCAAGTTGAGGACAGAGATGGGACACACTTCCTGGTCACTGCTATTTAAATTCCCCCAAAGAGTACCCTCTTGGCTCTTTAAAACCTGTGGTTTCTCATTCCCAATGGTATGTTCAACACCTAGTCTGGTGCATGGCATGTAGTAGATGCTCAGTAAATGCTGTTGAATGAGTGAATGAGAGAGTGAGGGGTGAGCAAATGCAGGAGTGAGTGAGTGAGTGGGTGAGGAGTGAGAGTTAGTGAGGCTCAGGGAGTGGCAAAGGAAAGGATCGAGAGTGGTAATTTTGTGACACTCAAGACCCAGGTCAAGTGGAAATGTGAGTAGATGGGCTGTTCATCTAGCGATTTCAGGAGTCAGAAGGATTCTTGGTCTACTCCTAAAGCAGCAGTCATGTGTCAGGGTGGAGGGGGGCCAGCCTGCAGTCCTGCACAGCTGACCTGCTGCCCAGCACTGACTCACCTGCCTTTTGTCAAACAGGTGCCTGCCCAGCTGCAGCTATGAGGATACATAGCCTCACCCTGCTCTCCTTCCTCCTTCTGGCCACTCAGCTGCTCTTAGCAGAGGGGGAAAAAAAGGGAAAGAATGGACATCCCAGGGAAGTGGTTCCAGAGCAAAAGGACACTCTGGGCAATGCCCAGAATAAGCAGAGAAGCAGGACGTCCAAGCCTACGACCAAAGGCAAGTTTGTCACCAAAGACCAGGCCAACTGCAGATGGGCTGTGACTGAGCAGGAGGAGGGCATCACTCTCAAGGTCGAATGCAGCCAAATGGACCGTGAGTTCTCCTGCGTCTTTGCTGGCAATCCAACCTCATGCCTAAAGTTCCAGGAAAGGAGGATCTATTGGAAACAAGTTGCCCGGAATCTGCGCTTACAGAAGGACATCTGTGGACAATCCAAGACTGTCCTGAAGACCAGGGTATGCAGAAAGAAGTTTCCAGAATCCGATCTCAAGCTGGTGAGCTCCACTCTTCTTGGGAACGTGAAGCCCAGGAAGGAGAAAGCAGAGACCTCCCATAGGGAGCATATCAAGGTCGAAGAGGACACCACCTCTAGACCAGTGGGGACCCAGACCGTGGCCAAGAAAGCTCCTGAGTGTGTGGAGGACCCAGACGTGGCACAGCAGAGGAAGAATGCCCTGGAGTTCTGTGGGGAGTCCTGGAGCTCCCTCTGCATGTTCTTCCTCAGCATGATACAGGACACGTCATGCTGATGGCGTCAAAAGAGAACAGGTTCCAGTGAGAGATATCATGTCATAAGCCCCTCTGCATGCTATAAAGACCTCCATGTTCCCCCCAAACACATGAACTTTTGTACTAACAGAGTGCAGTGGAATATTTAAACAGATTTTGTAATTTTTGTTTTTGTGTTTTGGAAATTGCTTTCTATTCACTTCCTCGGATGTGATTTTCAGAGGCTGTTCACCTCATCGTATGTTTCCACGGCCCACACAGCTGTGCCACATGCTCAGATGTGCGTATGAGCAGTGAAGACGTGTCTTTGAGTTGATCAAACCAGAGTGATGATTCTAGGGCAAGGCCCTTTCTGACAAATTGACAAACATAATAAAGCTCTGGGTGTTTTTAAAAGCATGTTCAACTGTTTGCTTTCTCTACCTTTGGTTCCTAATTAACTCATGGCTCATTATAAACAGGCCTCCATATACCGGTGGATAAAATATCTAAGGAACAACTTCTAGTTCTCCACCCAGCCCAGGTCATCTTCTAACGCACCCATTCCAGAATCCTTCTTTATACTTTTCTCCATTGATCTGCAGTTTCTGATGCTTATTGAAGTACAATAATTAGGATCCCTATTGTCGGGGACTCACAGATGGTGGGGGGGAGGCAGGATTGGAACCAGGGGGGTTCTGGCAGCAGAGTCTACAGGGTTGAGGGGCCCCCTCTGCTGGGAATGGCAGAGCTGTCCAATCCCACCCACCACATGCAGGACCTGCCCTTGCGGAGCCCGTTTCTGGGTTGGGGGTAGAGGCCTGGTTAGCACAGTGCCCTGTGATGAAGGTGTAATGGAAGGTGGGGAGAACTGCATGGAAAACCAGAGAGAGGAGGCTAAAACTGCTGGAAGATCAGAGGTTGAGTTTCATAGAGGAGGTGACACTAAAGCCGATTTTGGTGAGAGCACCTTAGGATGAAATGGGACAGAGTGAAGGCACTTTGGGTGTCTGACAGCATGACTAAAGACAAAGAGATGGGAAAGGTCCAGGTTCTGGGAGAGGTTGGTGGATGGCATGGGATGGGTTGCAAGCATGAGACTGTGGTTAGTCATTTACATGTTAGTATGAAGGATCCGAAAGTGCTCCAGCTCAAATGATGGGGAAATAGGACGAGCTGTCCCCAATGCCATGTCACAATTCCACAAACAGGAAATAATGAGGAGCAAAATTGGTAAAAGCACTGTTCTGTAGCATGTCTGATGGTGGCAGGGAGGCATGGCAGGGGGCTAGGAGGACAGCCTTTTGTACCCACCAACCTATCAGATGTACATTGACAATTGTCTGAGGCCAACCCACAGGGCCACAGCCTCAGAATGACATGGGTGTGTCATCAGCAACATCATCAAAACTAACATTCACCTCTCACTTGCTGTGTGCCGGGCAAGCTGTGTGCTGTGCTAAGCTCTTCCCATGGATTATGCATTCATTCATTCATTCACTCACTTCTTCATTCCACATACAATTTATGGAACCCAGACTTCCGTCAGGCTGTGTACTATGCTGGAGATCCCACAGTGGATGTACAAGAGGTCGGTGCTCTGCCCTCATGGAACTTGCCAGTGGGGAAACTGATGAAAAACTCACCATTACACACAAGTTAGAGACGAAAAGTAAAGCAAAGGAAGGGAGTGAGTGACCGAGGGTGATGCGTTCTAGACGAGTTGGTCAGGGAAAGCTTCTCCACAGAGATGACTTTTGAGCCTCCACCTAAATAGAGGAATCAGCCAGGTGACACTCACAGGTAAGAATATTCCAAACAGAGGGAGCAATTGGAACAAGTGCCCTGAAGTCATAGTTAGTTCATTTCTTCCCTCCTATAAGCTCTGCCTGCATGCCAGGCACCCTTCCAGAGCAGGAAATAGCAAGAAAGAAAAGAGAAAAAAAAAATCTCTGTTTTCGTGACCCTTCCAACGATGGGGATAATGCTTGTCAGGTGGCAGAAATGTCAGCAGTGGTGATGTTGTTGTAGGGTAGGGCCCGGGTCCTGAGCTGCGAACCTCTCACCAACCACGACAGAACTGAACAGACATCCCACACCTTCCCCAGTCCCCTTCTAGCTACAGGGGAAGGACATTTTCCCTTAGGGTCTACACAGATCCCCAGCCCTGTGCCCCCCTCCTCCACGTATATAACTTAGCTCAATATAGTCCTGAGATAGAAAAAGACTGGCAATCTCCTCCAGGACTCCCTGGTCTGGTATGGATCAGCGCGAATACTGGGAAACTGACCCAAAGCCTCTTTATGATCTCCTCCAAACCTAGAGGTGGCTGGTTCATCTGGTTCACTTGTGGTCTTTGGTCACTGGCTGAGAGCTGAGAGGAGTTTTGCCTCCAATGCGGGGAAACCGGCTAGACCTGGGCCAGAGCTTTGCCTCTGCAGGGAGCCAACCAGTCTTGCAGACAGTAATTTAACTGCTGACCAGAAATTAGCTCACTTGACAATGGGGTAGTGCAACCCACTCACCATTAAGCCTTGCTGGAAGACTGACATTGGTCAATATTTTTAAAGCACCTGTTATTGCCCCACTGGTTACGCAGCAGTACACAGCATGTATTCAGCACAACTGACTGCTTAAAATCCACAGCAGGAGGCTGGATTGTGGAGGCAGGTCAAAACTTTCCTCATGAAAACTCTTTAACTGTGGAAGTTTTTTTTTGTTTGTTTGTTTTTACAGTGCAATAAATGGCCAGAAACTGCCATTATTGATCACTGCTACATGCTAGTCGCTTTGTCCCCATTCTCTCATGAGTCCCCCACAACCCTGTCTGCCAGGAGGTTGCATCCTCATTCTCTAGTTGAGGGAACTGAGGCTCAGAAAAGCTTAGGATTTTGCCAGGGTTGGAAGCCTGTCAGTGGAAGAGCCCATAAAGCCAATTCCTTGTGCAGAGCTTCCCAAGCCCTTTCTGCCTCTGAAGAACGTGATTTTCTTCCCTTGATGAGAGGAGAGTGACATTCATGGTCTCTGGACATGGGACAAACCTGAAAGTGAACAGGATCCACCCGTCCCTTCCACATGTATAGTCTCGTCCATGTGCCTGCAAAGAGAACGTCAGAGAGGCCAACACTTCCACCCTGCTTGGACTTCCCTCACAGCCACAGCCTGAGGGGACGTTTTAAGAACACGAAAGAAAGAAAGAAAGAAAGAAAGAAAGAAAGAAAGAAAGAAAGAAAGAAAGAAACAAACAAACAAACAAACAAACAAACAAAGAAACAAAGAAAGACAAAGAAAGAAAGAAAGAAAGAAAGAAAGAAAGAAAGGAAGAAAGAAAGAAAGAAAGAAATCATAGACTTTATATTGACTTCTATCCAACTTGGGGCAACACATTTTCTCTCTGAGAACTTTCTGGATATGAAGTAGAGGAGCCAGGAGCCATCTCACTCTCACTCTCACTCTCTCTGGTCTTTAAGATAGGACTCCCCTTCATAACAAGAGATGGAAATTTTTAGCCAAATAGGAGGTGCTGAAGGTCAGCGTGTCTGCACCCCTGAGGCTGCGCAGAGGTGGGAATGTCTCTCTTCCCCCATAAAACCACATCTGGGCAGAGAGAGGGCCTCTTCCCTCCGGCGCCCTGGCTCTGTGTGGTAACTCACAGCCATGCCAGTGCTGACTTGAATCGTCGGAATCCGGAGCATCTCATCTGGCCTCCTTCCCCAGCTTCCCTCCTAAATTGTTTTTGGCAGAACCAGCCAAGGAGACCAGTGTTCGGGGCTGAGAACTCCCACGCAAGTAAGAGGCCAGCCATCTTCCTAAAACTCACCCAGCACCCTCCTGCCTCAAGCCCTTTGCACTTGTTCTTTCCTCCACCCAGGAGCCTCATTTCTTCCAGATCTCTGCTCAAATCTCACCCTCCTCTGTGGCTCTGCTCTACTTTTCCAATACCGTGTCGCATGCGCCAGATTTGCCTGTTTCACTTGCTTGTTTGTTTGCTGTCTGTCTCCCACTAGAATATAAGCTTCCCGGGAGCAGAGATTTTGTTTTGGTCACTGTTGTTTCTCCAGCATTTTTTACACTGCCTGGACCTCAATACATATTTAACTCTTAAAAAAAAATCAGAGTTAAAATAAGAGAATAGTTTCAGTGTCAGGCAGCCCTCAACCCTAACTTCTGTTCCAGCAATGTGATTGAAGTTAAATTGCTCACCCTTAATAAGTATTAATTTCCTTTCTCAGAAAATAGCACTCAAAAAACTCTTCCATATAAATTAAATAATTCAAGGAGTCTAAAGTACTGAGTTCTTTGCTTGGAACATAGTCATTGGTCAAAAATATGTAAGTTGTTGTTATTGATATTATTATTGAACATAATGCTTTCCAAAGGGCATGATGCTGTTCATTCTCTGGGCCCATAACAAAGATAGCAAGGTCTGTATCCTCCCAAACTGAGTGCATTTAGTTACATGGAGCCCATCTTGCTGGTTTCCATTCCACTATCCTTATTAGAAAGAGTGCTTTAGGCCGGGTGCGGTGGCTCACGCCTGCAATCCTAGCACTCTGGGAGGTCCAGGCAGGATCGCTCGAGGTCAAGAGTCCAAGACCAGCCTGAGCAAGAGCAAGACCCTGTCTCTACTAAAAATAGAAAGAAATTAGCTGGACAACTAAAAATATATAGAGAAAAAATTAGCCGGGCACATGCCTGTAGTCCCAGCTACTCAGAAGGCTGAGGCAGGAGGATCGCTTAAGTGCAGGAGTTTGAGGTGCTGTGAGCTAGGATGACGCCACGGCACTCTAGCCCAGGCAACAGAGCAAGACTCTTGTCTCTAAAAAAAAAAAAAAAAAAAAAAGAAAGAGTGCTTTGATTTTAGGAAAATAGTTTGAAAAGATAAAAATTGAAGGAGTTGGATTGCCAGGAATATGAACAAGGTCTAGCCAGCAGAAGGGGGCGAGGGGAGCGTGAGGGGCTGCCAGGCAACTGGACAGAGACTCTGGCCTCGAATTGAAGGGGCCCAGGGCTGAGTGGGCTGCTTTCTCTGGGAGGCAGG